ATATCTGTGAGGTTGACAGAAATACTCAACAGAGACTGGGATGTGTCTATTAGCCACGTATATAGAGAAGGAAACAGATGTGCGGACCGGTTGGCTAAATTGGGTATGGAACAACCAGAGGAAAGAATGATCTGGAGCTCTCCTCCGTGTGAAGTCTTGAATATTCTGCAGGAAGATATTGATGGCTTATGTCGGCCCCCTAGAATCTCTAATTTAAGCGTTTTATGAGTCTGGGCTTTGTATCACCAAAAAAAAAAAATATATAGGTAAGAAGAAATAGTTGAAATTTACCTAGGATCTTTTTTTGCCAGCTACCTATGATTTTTCATTAGGTAGAATTATAAGTTTTATGATTTTATTACAAATACAAACATCATAATAGTTTTGAAATTTGTGATACTTAATTACAAATATATTCTTCCTTTAAAACCTATTTATAATTTTTTTAAAAAAATCATAAAATATAGAGGTGTTTATAAGAAAAGACGGACCGTATCTAGTCTAGTCCCGTGCCAACGAGACGGGATAGGATATAGCCAAAATGGGACTGGAATATCCCCTTTTTTTTGTATTTTTGTAATTTTTTATTTTTTTTAATTTGAAAACTACCTATACATAAGGTATAAAGACTCATAATAAAAACTATATAAAAATTAAAAAAATTGGCAGTAATTAAAAATCAGCAAAGGAAAAAATGTTTTTTGTAATGTTAAGAAACAAAAATAAACAAACTTAAATGTTCATTAAAAAGAATATCACGTAACTCATAGAAAACAATTTGTAAATAAACAATCAAAATAACAATTTATGAATATTATTATAATGTAATTGTAGTAACAAATCAGATAAATTTATAAAAAATAAAAAGAAAAACAATATATCAGGATGAGATTGGAACAGAATATTTTTATCCTGTGTCGTATCCTATCTCCCGTATCAAATTAGTTGGGAAAGGGACGAAACGTTGGAACATGATAGGGTTGAATAATCCTAATAAAATACACATGAAAAGAACTAAAATTTTAAAGAATTACATGCAGGTCCCAAATAAAAAATCTTATTGCCATAAAATCTATCAAAACGTTGAAATTAATCTCATTTATGGAGTCGGTGGGGGTTGTGGGGGCGGGTGCTGATTCCCTTCCTTTTATGGGGACCAATATTAAAAATGGTGGGTATTCTTTATATGGTATTTTTAATATGTTTTATATAAATAAAAAAAAATTTAAATTCTATCAACTTTTTTATTAAAATATAACAATTTTTTAATTCTATCTTTATTTAATATTTATATTTGTAAAAAAAACTACATTATAATAAATGAAGGATAATATGGTATATTTATGATAAAAATTTAATGAAATAATTTACAAACAAGACTAAAAAAATTTTCTTTCTATCTTATAAATAAGATTAGAGAAGTAGTTGATTTCATTTTAATAAAAATAAGTGGCTAAGGACTTGTTTGGATTGATTTGTAAGTAGTTTTTCAAACGTGATTTGCAGAACATGAGATAAGTATGTAAAAAAAAATTATCTCTATTTACATAAACTTATTTAAAAATCTGTTCAAAATAAAACTCCAACCAAGTCATAAGTAGTAAAGGATGTTCAAAGGATCTGGTAAAAAAAAAAGGATGTTCAAAGGATGCTCACGGGGGATGGGGAAAACAAAGTACAAAGACGCTCATAGGGCCATAGGGGCCCCTTACCTCATTCATTCATTAAAGGGAAAATTACATTCAAATCCTTAGAAATTGTGAAATGATTTTAAAATTTCTAGAGACCTGTGTGTAATTAATTCTAATTATCTTGATAATAAATGTTTTAAATGTTGATAGATGTTTATGTATGATGATATTTGGTATTTGTGACTTAATTTTATTCATATTTATGTCTTTTATTAATAATTTTATTAGTTTATTTTTATTTTTTAATTAAAAAAAGTAAGAAATATGAAAAGTAATTTTTCTTTCTTAAACTGACCAAAAGCTTATGAGCCGATCCTAAGTCTGTTGATTGGGTCCCCATTTGGTGCTCATCACCTGATGAGCAATCTGGACCCTCCAGATAATAATCTGGACGGTCCAGATTTAATATTTTTAAATAATTATTTTAAAATAGAAAAAACTATATTTTTAAAGAATGATAGTTAAGAGATTATCTTTATTTTTTATCCTATATCTATTAAAATAATTATTTTAAAAAAATAAAAATAAAAATAAAATCAGATCTGGACCATCCAAATCAGATCTGGACGGTCCAGATCTGATGAGCATTAGGTGCTCATCAAAACTGATGAGCACCCAATGCAAATCCCTGTTGATTTAAGAGTCAGAAATAGTAAATTAGAATATTTTTAAAATTTTGGTTATATAGAGTCCGCTCATATTTCTACCTCTACAAAAAGCCAAAAAGGTGCCGCCAAGTTAACATCTATCAATGTGTTGTCATTTTATGGGCAGATGATATGGTGTTCCGGCTGCACACGAGAATTTCTCCATATCAGGTGCCTTTTTTTTTTTTTGGGAGAATCATCGAAAAAGTCTTAAAGAAGAAATTTATTTACTAAAATTTTTTAATAATAAGTGATTAATTTGAATCTTTTGTTATTTCTTATCTTTAAATTTGTCAATAAATTTTAAAATAATTAAATTTTTTTGGGACTTAATTATAATTCTCTTTTTTTTCCCTCAAAAAACGAACTACCCGGGTGGCTTTTCCTCGCACGCAGGCCGCTGATTTTGTCATCCAGTTCTCGTTCAATTGGGTCTTCTCACGTGTTTTGAAGAGCCTAAACATTGCTGGTCAAAAAAAAAAAAACAAGAAGAAGAGCCTAAACATTGGTTTATTTTGAGATGGAGATCGTTTTATCTCTGCAAAAAGAACAAATTTGCACAGCTGGCTTTTCTATGCTTCTGTGTCATTATCTTTACAAATATACGTTGCTTATCTAGTAAAAATAAATGTCCGGTTGGTACAAAATTGCACTCTAATTAAATATTTTAGGTGGGTGGGTGTACCTGTAAAATAATTTGAAATGATGAGTGCGTCCTTACCCGAAATTAAAAAAAAAAGAAGAAGAGCCTAAACATTGGTTTATTTGAGATGGAGATCGTTTTATCTCTGCAAAAAAAAAAAAAATTGCACAGCTGACTTTTCTATGCTTCTGTGTCATTATTTTTACAAATATACATTGCTTATCTAGTAAAAATAAATGTCCGGTTGGTACACTCTTATGGTGTGTTTGGTATGAGGGATTTGGAAGGGATGGGAGGGAAAGGGAGGGATTTTAATTATTTCCCCTTGTTTGGCAACACACAAATTTTAGAAGGGGAGGGAAAAATTTTTAAAATTTCCCCTCCCCTTCCCTCTTCAACCTCCCCTCTAAAATTGGGAGTATTTGGAGGGAAATAGCAATATTTTGTCATATTATGACTATTATGCTCATATTTTGTCATGTTGTGACCATTATGTCTATATTTTGCCATGTTGTGACCATTATGCTCACGTCTTAAATAAAACAAGAGCAAAATTGTCCATATTAAAATATTTTTCCCTCCCCTCCCCTCTTTTTTTATAAATCCAAACAAAATAATATAAAATCCTTCCACTTCCCTCCCCTCCCTTTCCTCCATTAAAATCCCTCCCCTCTCCTTTCTCTCATTGAGCCAAACATACCTTTAGTGGACGGAAGAAATTGAAGCACATTAATTATATGGAAATAAAATTGCACTCTAATTAAATATTTTAGGTGGGTGGGTGTACCTGTAACAATAATTTGAAATGATGAGCGCGTCCTTACCCGAAATTTAAAAAAAAAAAAAAGGAATAGAGCAAAAAATTGAATGAACTATGTCCTTCAGGCCTGCAGTGCAGAACTACAGATGGGCATTCTCTCTCACATTATTCGCTTTTTTGACCTGTCTCTTACAATATTAGTTGAATCCATTTTAATTCACTTGTCACGTCCGATTTCAATGGCGCGTCTCGTTTTTGTAGTTGAGGCATTCGATTAAAAAAAAAGAAAAGAAGAGGGAACTGTGTTGGGGTCTCACAAAAAATAAAATACCGCAAAAAAGTTTTGAGAACTTTAATAATTGCTTTCAAAATTTTAAAGGGATTTCACTGCAATAATAAAAATGTTAAGAAGATTTTATTAACGCTAGTACAGAAAAAGTACTGAAAAGAGAAAGTTATTAATATAGACTGTGATAATTGTCAATATTACTGGTTCATTTGTTAATTTATTTTGCAACATAAGATTGAAAAAAAGTGATTTCAAATTATATAATGAGAAGTAGTATTAAAATATCTTGTAGACTAGCACTTTTTAATGATAATGTGATGAAACATTGTTATTAAAAGTCAATTATCACTTATATAAAATTATGAAATTACTTGTCATTAAATAGCTCTTCATATCATAGCTAATAATTGACTTTTAATAACAATATTATATCACATTATCATAAAAAAATATTAGTTCACAAAATATGTCAATATTATTTTTTATTATGTAACTTGAAATTATATTTTTTAAAAATTTATATCAACAAATAAATTCACAAGTGAATCAACAACATTGAGGACTATTACAAGCTACAATAACAATTATCGTGGCTTATATTTACAACCGTACCTTTTTAGCATTTTTTTTCTGTATTAGGAGCAACAATCTTTTCAAGTTTTTTTTCTTATTTCAGTCAAGTCTTTTTAGGACTTCGAAGTAATTATCAGATTTTGAGAGACATTATTACAATATTTTGTCTTTTCCAAAAAAAATAATGATGCCATTCCCCGAACAACGTTCAAGGCATTAATTGGTGGTTATATATGTACTTTTTTTTTTTTTTTAATCACACACACACATATCTGTTTTCCTTTCTCATAGGAAAGACCCTACAGTCTGCAGACGCTCGGAATTGAACCGGTGACGTCCCCAAAGCTTGGAACAATTATCTTTGGATGGGAGAAGAGAGTAAACAAATAAACAAGCGTTCCATATTTAAAATTCTAAGTGAAGACGTGCAACAAATGATGAACAATAGATAAATCTGGGAAACATTATAGCTTGAGCTTGCAGGCTGATGAATTTTAGTCGTTCAGGCTAATTCTAATTTTTGGTTTGTCGAGGAATCTCCATGGCTGCATTGAGTATAATCTCAAAGGCACTTTCGAGGGAGGATTTCAGTTTGTGTTCATCTATGAAATATTTTTCTGTCTGCAGGGACACTCTCAGAACGCCATTGTAGCTCATTACTGACATCTGAAGGCTCTGTAACCCATAAAATTCAATTAGCTAGAGGCATTGGCACATCAATTTAGGGTAGGATTCATTCAGAAAATCATGTCTGTTTTGGGTTTTGGGGAGACCAAATTTCACAATGACAACAAGAGAATAAATGTTCTGAACATGTTTTAAGTTTAAACTGATCAATGCATTGAATAGAAAAATAAATAACTAAATATATAAATACCTGAGGAACCCCGACAGATGTGAAATACAAGCCTTTGACGGGATGGTTAGCTAAAGATATTTTTTGTGATGGTCCGATTAGGTTAGTTATTGCCAAACTCGATTTTGACATTGTATCGTACATGTGCTTAGCTACTGCCTGCAAAAATAATAAATTCTCAATTAATTATCTGCCTCATGTAAAGAGAGCTTCTTCATGTACTCTTTTCAGTTCTAATTATATCATACGGTATATTTAGGATCAAATAAATTTTTAAAACTTTACCCTGTAATTAAGACAAAAGGAGTCAGTGCTAGTTACTATAGAAGTGATGATAACGGCAACATACCAGATATCATGGCATGAGAGCAAATTTAATCAGACAAAATACTATAGGTTTGACATATCTAGCTATCAGCCATGTAATTATTATTGAAAGGCGAAAAAGAAAACATTTCTTAGCTCCAACCATACCCAATTTGATTTGATGTTACTTTTTTAAGGCGAGAAAAGAATGATTTGGTACGTATACGAAGAATGATAGTCGGGTCGGGTAATTATTTGACATTCTAATTTAGTTTCTTAAGGTAGTGTTTGATATGAGGGAAATGGAGGGAAGGAGAGGGAAAAGAAATTTTAATAGGCTATATTTAAAAAATTGGAGAAGTAGGGTTTTAAAATCTCAATAAAGAGCAGAAGTAATATAAAATGGTAATAAAAATTAATTAAAAGCTTTTGACCTTATTTTTTTAAAAAATTTTTTAAATCGAATTATTAAAATTTTCTCTCCCTTTCCCTTTTCTCATTTTTTCTCATACCAAACCGACCCCAAAATAATATTGACAACTGTAATATGTTGAACACTCCCCCCCCCCTCCAAATAGGGACCAAAATGTTAACGATTCGAGGACCCAATCACCTAAATGCCATTCTCCATTTATTCAACCTTAAAGCTCTATAATATATGTTTGTTCATGTAATCTGTGATTATATACAGATGTTACTTAAGTAGACACCATATTTAATTTAATGAGATGTATCCATACGAACCTCATATCCTTTCCATTTTCTCTTCATTTCGAGAAGCATGCCGGCGAGGAGAACGGCCGCGGATTGTTTCTTCCTGATGATTATATTGTGTGCTTCCCAGATGAATTCTAGTGGATTTGAAATCCTATCATCTTCTAACTTTGGAATCGGCACATGGAAGAAGGAAAAATGGTTCCCCCAAGAGGCCTTAGACTTGAGCATGTCATCGACAGATTGATAGACTTCGATGTTTCTTGTGTTCATCAGCACCAACGCAGTGGAGTTTGCGGCCCTGGATTTGATGTCTACGTCTTGCATGTACAAGCGAATCCCAAAGAAAATAACCCCAGTAATCACGTCATTTATTGTCTGTATATTAAATGCAAACCGAAGAACGATAAGTGATTAAGAGTATATAGATATATGTAAGCTAAAACACACGTACGCGCACGCATATCTAAGAAAAAACATCGACGGACCGCTCCAATTAGCCTGGACTTGACGAGTTTGATTTGGTCAAGGGAGAATTCCAAGGTTGATACAGTGAATGGAGGAATCTCAGGTCCTTCAATTCCAGACCTGATTGGTGTTTGGTCATCTTCATTGACACTGCTCTTCGATATGCTCCCCCAAAAATCAGCGAAAGTATGGAAGGCTGATGACATGGCCAAAGAAAATCTGTTGAAGAAGCTTTTGCGATGAGATTTTGCAGGTTTGAGGGGAGGGAAAGGCAAGGGAAGTGAGGGATCGTCGGCTCTTTGAAGACAAGAAAGAAGAGCACCCATGAGAGAGTAGCCATCTCCAAGAGCGTGGTGGAGTTTGAATATGAGGCTGCTTGCCGCACTGCTTGTAGGGTAATTCACGATGTGAATTTCCCATAATGGTCTGTTCTCTGGAAGCTTCTCTGATGCTATTTTGGACATGTAATCCGAAAAATACTTGTCATATAATTCATCTGGCTCGCATTCAGGGAATGAGGGGATGTTAACATGATCTTTCAAGTTGACTTCCACTTTCTCCCATTGTTTCTTCCCACTCATGTCTTCAACCTGCTCTCCATCAACAACATATTATTATTGCCGCCGGTTAAATATAAAGCGTAATCAAATTTTTAATCACATGCAATTATAAGAGAGAGAGACAGAGAAGGAATAAGACCATGATGGAGGAGAAGCGAGGATTGACAGGAAGAAAGAGGCGCGTGAGGAGAGGAATGGCTTGTGATTCATCGAAAGGAACCTCGAATTCCAAAACGCCAACAACGTAAATACAGAGCACAGAGCTGTTGAAGTATTGTCCAATAGGACTCACTGGTACTGCTGCTTCTTCTTGATACTGCTTCATCACCATCTTTGTGCTTTCTGTCACATTCGCCCTCACAACTCAGTTAATGGGTTTGCGAAGGCACTCTAAAGCATGAGCACACATGATGAGGACAAGCTCATACTCATACATATATATAGATATATACTAAAAGGAATGCTATTTAACTTTGATTTCATGATTAAATCTTGTCATGGATATATGCGTATATCGACTCCCTCAAGCCTTAAATGCAGAACTTAATTAGTTGAGGGAGTGACGAAATTGTCTCTCACCTTCCCTAAGATTTTCCTCATTTCCCAAATATTTTTTCTTGTTTCTTTTTATCATTGGTATTTATATAATATAAATGACATTTTGATATTTTGTGAGGAAAAAAATCACGCAATTTTGATTTTTTTTAAACAATTTTTCAAAATATTTGTAGCTAAATTAAAAAGAAAGCAGACGATTCTAAAAGATTTTTTCTTTAAAAAATCATAAAAAATTTAAAACTATATCGAGTTTTATGTATAAGATATCAAAATGTCACTCAATTTATGTAAAATCTAACAATAAAAAATTAGAAAAAACATTTGAAAAGTGAGTTAAAACTAAAGGGCAGAAAAGGGGCCATTGAAACTCCATATCTCTTGTTTTGTATTAAATGTAAGATACCAATTAACTTTGTTTTTTAAATTTATAATTTTTTTAAGGTATTGCACATAATAAAGGAGGATTTCATTTTTATTAATGAGGTAGTTTTAATATATATAGTTAAAGGGGGCATTTTAAAGAAGCCCATACATCTTTTTTATAATTACTAACTAAGCTAATCTTATTAATCTCCATAAATTAATAATCTAGTTAGGAGCTAATATTATTTCATATTCGAACCAATGAAAGAAAAAAATGACTTAAAAGGGACAAGATAGTAGCTTATTAATAAAACTAGTCGCTATATAACAACAAATGTCCCACAATGACGTTCCGGAGAGGAGAGAAAACAAGTGGAAGCGAAGCGTTAGAGGTCATATTCATTTTCATGACTGAAAACTGCCTTCAACCTCCAACTCCGTTTTCTAAATGAAGTAAATTCTCTCATTTTGCAAAAAAAGAAAAGAAAAGAAATTCAAGAAATAATATCCTCTTTTTTTAGGTATATATATTCTCCTAGGTACTAAATGTTTGTTGGAATGGCATAAAAATAATTTTTTATTCATAATTTGCGGAATACAAGGTAAGTGTGCAAAAGTAATTTTGCCTCTGCTCATGTAAAAATAATTATAAGTATTTATAAATCATAACTCCAAACAAGTCCTAGATGTGGATACATCTTCTAACATGGATTTAAATTTTAATTTATTATATTGTAGCTTGTAAAAGACCAACTCTTTCCTCTGGATCCAATAATCTCTTTATGTTCTGTTTTTCGTTTTTTTGGTAGCCACAGGTATCCTCTCATGGGAGAGGAAAGAAGTGGAAGTGAAGTGTTAGAGGTCATATTCATTCTTATGATTGAAACTGCCTTCAACCTCCAACTCCCCCGTAAACCCTTTCTAGAAAATCAAGAAATAATCTCCTTTTTTTTTTTTTCAAGGTATAGATATTCTCTTACTAGAGGCAATGTCAGGTATTAAGAATTTGTTGGAATGGCATAAAAGTATATTTTTAATCATGATTTACGAAATATAAGGTAAGTGTGTAAGAATAATTTTGTCTTCACCCACATAAAAGTAATTATAAGTACTTAAAAATCACAGCTCCAAATAAGCTTTAAATGTAAATACATCTCTTAATGTGAATTTAAATTTTTATTTGTTATGTTGTAACTCGTGAGAGGCTAACCCTTTTATCTAGACCCAATAGTGATATAATCTCCTTATGTTCTTTTTTTCTCTTTTTTTTTTGTAGGCACAGGTATCCCGTTATTAGAAGCAATCTTGTTTAAGACACTGTCGGGTAAATGTTTGCACATCTCTCAGCTGGTATTCAAATATTAATTCACCATATTATGAGAGATTAGCCTCTTCTACTAGACCTAATTCCTATTAGTTCCTCCTGTTCTTTTAATTAAACCAAAGATCAAATTCATTGGACGTCTTTTATTTAATATTTACTTCCTTAATAGGCGGTCCATAAATCAATAATGTGCGCAATTGATAAATTTCGACCACAGCCATACACCATCACAGGCAACTACGGAGACACGTAGGCCTGTTAAGGGTTTCTTTCAGAAGACTTGGTCCCTTTTTTTTTTTTTAAAAAAGCATTTTTATTTTTAATCAAAACCAGAGTGTTCTTTTCTTCCTCTTCAAGGAAAAAACCCCTTGATTATCAACTCAGTTATACGTCGGCCCAACATCAATTCTGATGGGCTGCAAATTGCCCCAGTTTAGCTACATTTATTTTGAGCATGGCCACAGGCCGACGAATTATATTATATTTTATTTAAAAAAATTTACATCGTTTCTTTAATATTTAGATCTCATAAAAAAATTGAAGGAATATTGAATAGACTGTGTTGATGATGGAGAACAGAGTTCATAAATGTATAATATATATCATCCTCTTTCTGCATAATTAACATTATCAATGACGGAATACTCTCCAAAGCTATATTAAAGTGTTTTTTCATATATAGTTACTTATTAAATAAAATATGTAGCTGGCCTCATGTCATCATAGCAGGTAATCTTCAACCTTCAAATCAAATGAATGGAGAAGACTGGGAATTCAAAGAGATATATAAATATATAAACTATAGAGTTTCCGTTTAGCAAGTAATCTTCAACCTTCAAATCAAATGAATGGAGAAGATTGGGAATTCAAAGAGATATATAAATATATAAAATATGGAGTTTCCGTTTAGTTAAAATAAATCCGATTATATCACATTGGTGGACACAAACTGAAACCACTGGCTCTGAGGATCGTCCAGACACGAAGGATCAGAATCGGCACAGATGCATTTGGCGGCGGCGACGGAGGACGAATTGGCATCCCTCTGCAAGCACAATCGATTCCCTTGTGCGTCCACCGAAGCCCGGTGCATGCCTGACTCTGTTATGACTTTCCATGAAGTTTGGTTCGTGTTTGAGCAATCCGCCGCCGTGAGCTCCACTGGTTGGCCTTCCACAGTTGCCTCCAAACACTCCGCTTCCTCCGCATCCTGCAATTTGATCTGTGTTCCTTCCACACTCCACCCGCTTGCCCCGTTACAGTCTTGCACTTCCACTTCATCACCATTCTCCTTCCTCTTCACGCGCTGCCCACTTTATGGGTGATACAGTACCTGCGACATGGCCTTCTTCGAACTTGGGTCTTGGTATATAAGGAAAGAACAGTTAATAACTAAGAAACCGTTTCGAGTTGAGATGAAGAAACACATGCATATATATATATATAAACATATATACCTTGGAGTGTTTGGAGTATTAGCTGGAACCTGTTAGGGAAGTCGGGGTAACTGAGTGTTTGCCACTGGAAGTCCAACAATCCATAGGACTCTCCTGCGTTGACATTGCCTTCTCTGAGATAATAGCTTCCTTGCAATCCCCACTAAGCCCAACCTAAGTCATTGACGGCCAGGTACGCTAAAATGCAGGACAACCATGCACCGTCCGTCGGGTTCTGCTATTAATGGTGAGATTGGGATGCCATATTCGGTCATCAAAAGAGGAGCAGCGTTGGAGCCGGTGACGAGGAACGTAGCATGAGATTTTAACTCGTTGTACTTTGCCATATTCGTCTTGGAGCCTGGCAACAAGGGGACGGATCATACGACTACTTACATAATTCATCTGTGTGCTTACTACTGCAGACTGCAGATATGCTCATGTGCTTAAGTAATTCGGCACATTTTTCTTCACCATTATTACAAATAAAATATCCAGCTTCGATTATTAATGACAAGAGTCACTTACTTTTCCTTTACATCTATATGTGTCACAATATATTTTTGACCAAAAAAAAAGTGTCACAATATATAGTTCATATTTTCAAGTAAAATTATAATATTTGCATTTATAGGTTGTTTCAAGGGAAAATTTCACTGTAGGACCGCACAAGACAATTAATCTCAAAGAGCCCCCAAAACTTTCTTAAACTTCACTGCAGGACCAAGGGGCCAATCTGATATTAATTCCACAAACAAAATGACGACACTGCCCCTAGTAGAAGGGAACAAGTGCGGGAGAGTGCATTTGCAAGGGGAACTAGCCAATTTGCAGAACAAATACATATGTTCACACGTGGAATCAGTCCGTTCACATGTGGACTGGTTCACCTGATGAATGCGTCCGTGAGGGAACAAGTGCGGGAGAGCGCATTTGCAAAAGAAACTAGCTAATTTGCAGATGAAATACATATATTCACACGTGAAATCAGTCCGTTCACATGTGGACTGGTTCACCTGATGCATGCGTCCGTGAGAAAACAAGTGCGGGAGAACGCATTTGCAAGGGGAACTAGCTAATTTGCAGAATAAATACATATATTCACATGTGGAATCAGTCCGTTCACATGTAGACTGGTTCACCTGATGCATGCGTTCGTGAGGAAACAAGTGCGGGAGAGCGCATTTGCAAGGGGAACTAGCCAATTTGCAGAATAAATACATATATTCACACGTGGAATTAGTCCGTTCACATGTGGACTGGTTCACCTGATGCTAAGGGTAGTGGCGTCATTTCGTTTGTGGAATTAATATCAAATTGGCCCCTTGGTCCTGCAGTGAGATTTCAGAAAGTTTTGGGGGCTCTTTGAGATTAATTGTCTTGTGCGGTCCTACAGTGAAATTTTCCCTTGTTTCAATGCGACATATAATATGATAATATCCTGTGCTGTACTCAAATGAATTAATTATCGAGAATCGTAGGGAGCACCGCTATCGCTATTTGCTGGCACAGAGGGGACATTTTGCTAAATGATTATATTTTAAATTGAATTATTTCTTTCTGTGGCTAGCTTTCTCTTAAAAACTTCGGCCACTTAGCTTGGAAAAAAAACAAATTGATATTATTTAATACTACCTCATATCCTAATTATAAGATTCTATTTATAATTTACAAATAAAATCTTATAATTAGGACCGGAGGTAGTACTATAATAATGGTATTGATAGGTGAAGAGATATTTAACTATGTACCATTTTGTTGAGCTTAATGAATTGTCCGTCATAAAAAGGGTAAGGAGAAATTGTTCAAATTTATGATTTTTCATTATGTAGAATTATAAGCTTTCAGGGAAAAATAGAGGGGGGAAAAACAGAAAAACTATGTCCTTCTGGCCCACAGTATAGACTGGCATACTCTTTTTTGGGGAAAAAAACAAATTATTAGTTTCTATAATATCATATCATTTATCTAGGAAAAAAAATCATATCGTTTATACTCCAATAAAAAAAAATAATTTAATCAAACAAAATTATGATTTATTTATGCAGATATATTCTGTTGCTTCTCACAAGTTTCTGATTTAACTGCATGACCCTAGTGGATTGCTTTGCATTAACTCTTTGGAAAAATTACACTCAGGTCCCACAGAGCACAATTAATATCAAAAAGGTACCTCGAAATCGCGAAATGATTCTGAAGTCCCCAGGGACCTGCGTGTAATTAATTCTAATTGTGAAATTACCTACTTACCCCTGTTAATTTTATTGCAGCAATTCGTTTACAATCTCAATCGTGGCTGTTAACAACCCGAGAAGACATGATTGACAACCTCGGCAGTGCTCATGACAACTCACTCTGTCGAATGCCAGGGGCGTTGTTGAGGTTGTTAACCACCTCTTCTCGGGTTGTTAACAGCCACTGTTGATGTTGTAAATATGTTCTAATTTTATTGCAGCAATTCGTTTACAATCTCAACAGTGGCTGTTAACAACCCGAGAAGACGTGACTGACAATCTCGGCAGTGCTCATGACAACTCACTTTGTGGAATGCCAGGGGCGTTGTTGAGGTTGTTAACCATCTCTGCTCGGGTTGTTAACAACCACTGTTGAGGTTGTAAATAGGTTCAAATTAACAGGGGTAACTTCATAATTTCACAATTAGAATTAATTACGCACAGGTTCCTGGGGACTTCAGAATCATTTTGCGATTTTGAGGAACCTTTTTTATATTAATTGTGCTCTGTGGGACCTGAGTGTAATTTTCCCTAACTTTTTCCAAATAGGTAAAACGGGCATGGATGACTGACTCTTTAAGAAGGCTTGGAAACGACGGCCCAACCTCAATTCTGATGGGTAGCATATTGTCCCAAGTTAGCCCACATTCATTTTGAGAATGCCCCTAGCCCCGCTTCATTTTTTTCATTTCTTTAATTAGATATTTCTCCGAGAAGGATAATGAATTAATAAATAAAATTTAATAATAAGAAATTGAATTACCATTTTATTTGAAAAAATTACACCATTTCTTTGATATTTAAATTTCATAAAAAGATTGAAGGAATATTGAACAAATATGAAAGAAAACGGTACCGAGTCTAAGGAATAATAATTGTACAAAACGAGCATTGTTGTTCATGTGTTGTTAATAATTTTACAGTCACTTGAAAGCAAGCACGCCCCTTGGCCATATATATCCGTCTCCTCCTCCACCAACGCAATTGTGTATAGATTGTGAATGATGATAGTGAAGAGAGTTCATAAATGTATAATATATCATACTCTTCTGATAAAGTGTCTTTTCATGTATGCCATTTATTATAATACTCTTTCAGTCTTTAATAGAGAATCTAATTGAAGACTTAATATTGATCAATGTAAAACCTATTATATATTTTTTTTAATTTTTTTTCTAAATTATTCTTATTGTACAATAACAACCAAGTAAGAGAGAATGGAGGAAATTAAGAACGATGAACAAGGTGACTTAGGAAAATATGTTATATTTATTGTAATTAATTAATTTACCTAATTTCTCTAATATAATCAAACTAGTTTAATAAATCTCATATCAAAGAGAAGTAAGAGAATATAACAGGAAAAAGAACAACATTAAATTTATTCTGATTGAGACTAAAGAAATTAATTCCAAATGATTTTTTTAAGTAATTACCCACGTGGTCCTTAATTTCTTTGTATGGTGCAAATTAATGTCTTATTATTCATCATATCTCATACAGAATATACTACGCATGATATCAAATAATCATGCCTCTCATACAATGCATTTCATACATTATCCATATAGATACAGTCATAGGATATTTTACAGTAATAGTGCAAGTGAAGAGATAGATAAATTAAATCTTGGAAATTATATAGCACCGTGGAGGAATATTTGCTCCTAGTTGACCTTTATGCTTGGTTGAGAGCTGCCTTGAGTGTGGCCTCAAAAGCGCGCTCGATGTGGGGCCTTAGCTCGGGTTCGTCTATGAAATATTTATCTGTCTTAAGTGTCACCCTTTAGAATTCCCAATTTCCCATGTAGCTCATTATGGATATCAGAAGGCTCTGCAACCCATACAATCTCAACGCCGTTAATTAGCTCTATCAAAGAAGTCAATAACTTTGCAAGTGATTGATGATGTTTGTGACTCTCTTTTTTTGATAAAAGTCATCGATCATATTTGTTTGGGCTTTACCCGGAGAGACTAAATCTAACAGTGATATAATGTACTACCTCCACAATCCAACCCTAGAACTTAACATAATTAACATAAGAACTAATTAGATAATTAGATATTCAATTAGACCTTAAATATAAAACTCAATATACCTTGTTTTTCAATATTTATCCATTTTATTTTTGAGTAGTATCTATGATGACCGAACATTTTAAGCAATTTTCATCAAGGAGTAATCTCAATGCACATAATTGATAGATGTATTCTAAGAAAAACAACATCCATTTCTGATACATAACTAACTCCACTAAATTTTTTAATATTTATAAATTAGTTATCTAATTTTTATATCATGCTAATGTTCAGTAACTACAAAGTTATTTTCGCATTTCACCATCAATATATGATCTGTATTAGTCAAACTTCTGATATAGCCGGAATTTTAATATTCTTCATCAATAAATTTTTTTAATTACTTTTATTACTTTGGCCCAAAAAATTACTTTTATTAGATTTATTAATAAAATCATTATATATATATTCCCTTAAAAAAGAAAATACCTCAGGACCTCCGGCCACCGTGAAGCAGAAGCCATTTACAGGATGATTGGCTAAAGACATCTGTTGTGACGGTCCAATCAAGCTTGTAATTGTTGCACTTGACTTTGTCGCTGCGTTATAAACATGTTTGGCTACTGCCTATAAAGATCACTTATGATTATTCAGAAATTTAATTGACATCCGTGAAATAGGATAATTAAGATTAATAATAAATATTACCTCAAGTGCTTAATATAAGTGTTAATTAACTAATTTAAATAGATTAAGAAAAATAGTTAAATTAGTTATTTACAATAAATAAGTGTTATTTTTTTCAAATATCATCGCTAATCAAATGTATTGGCTAGAATTACTATTATTATAAAGACTATCTTAAAAAAATAGATAAATATAAGAGACAAAATGGATTAGGATCTTATATTTATAAACAAAATAAAAATCAAACAAATTCTTATATTAAGGACCAGAGGTAGTATTTTTTGATAACCAAATATCTAACAGTTTCTTTATTAAGTTTGTTTTTAGCTTTTTTAACTCTGAGAATTTTTTTTTGTTATATATGCATATGGTTTAAACTTCACTTGATATATCCTTATCTTGTAATCAGTGAAAATATAATTTTATATTGAGTTTAGAGTGAATGTCACTGAAATTTGATCTTATTTTAATTTTGATTCTTGAAATTTGAAACCAATAATAGTGGTCTCTAAAATTTGACTTCGTTTTAATACAGCTATAAATTTTTGGTATCTCTCAAATGAGAATCAAAACCAAAATAAAATAAATTTTTAAGGATTAAAAATAATATTAACTCTTCCATTGATCTAAATATTGTGCCTACTCATACCTCATAACCTTTAAGTTTACTCTTCATATCCAAAAGCATCCCGTTGAGAGGAACAACCAAAGATTGATTTTTACTCTTGATTATATGATGCACTTCCCAAATGAAGTCTAGTTGCTTTGAAATTCTTTTGCCTTCTGATTTCGGAATCGGCACATGCACGAAAGAAACTCGGTTCCCCCACGATCTTTTAGCCTGATGAGCACTAAGCATATCGTTGACTGACTGATAACATTCAATATTTCTCGTATTCATCAATACTAATGCGGTGGATTTTGCAGCCCCTGACTTGTTGTCAACGCCTTGCATATACAGTCGAGTCCCATAGAAGACTATCCCAACAATCGCATCATTTACAGTCTATACTGGGAATTAAAAAAGAAAAGAAAAGGAGGGTTATATATATGGATAACTGTAAGTGATGCATATAAAAACTATATGAGTAACTGAGAAGCAAAAACTATCAGAGTTTCAGCAAAGTGAAGAAATTGATGAGAAGTCATACCACTCCAAGTCGGGACTTGATAAGTTTGATTTGATCCAGCGAGAATGTGATGGTTGATATGGTGACTGGGCGAGTTTCCCCTGTTTGAAATCCGGACCTGATGGGCGTCTTGTCATCTTCAATGGCAGTAGTGTTCGTTAAGCCCCACCAGAGATCTACTAGAGTATTGCAGGCTAATGACATGACCGAAGAAAATCTGCTGAAGAAGCTTTTGTTGGCAGACTTGGATGGTTTGAGAGAAGGGAAAGACAAAGGAAGAGAGGGATCAACGGCCCTTTGAAGACAACTAAGAAGAGCACCCATGAGAGAGTAGCCATCTCCAAGAGCGTGGTGGAGTTTGAATATGAGGCTACTTGCTGCACTGCTTGTAGGGTAATTCACGGTGTGAATTTCCCATAATGGTTTATTTTCTGGAAGCTTCTCTATTGCTATTCTGGACAAATAATCAGCAAAATAATTGTCATATGATTGCTTTGACTTGCTTTCAGGGAATAAGGGGATGTTGATATGATCTTTCAATTTCACTCGTATTTTTCTCCATCGTTTCTCCCCGCTTTTGTGTTTAACCTGTGAAAGAATGAATATTATTGTGCATTACATATGGATGATATGATGAAGAGGGGAAAAGAAGTGAAGATGATGAATTAGTAGCCAAAAATGTCTTGTGTATAACACTGGGTAAAATGTTTTCACATCGATCATATCGGTTTAAAAGGCCTTCTTGCATATGCATGAGAATTATATATCAGACAAGACAAAATATGAAGAAAGAGAGAGACGAGAGAGAGAAAGAGAGGACCATGATGGAGGAGAAGCGAGGGTTGATGGGAAGGAGAAGACGCTGGAGGAGAGGAATAGCTTGAGAGTGATCAAATGGAACCTGCAACTCCAAAACGCCGATAATGTAAATGCATAGCGCAGAGCTGTTGAAACATAGTCCCATTGGACTCACTGGGAATTCCACTTCTTCTTCTTCTTCTTCTTCACAGTAGCGCTCCATCGTTCTTTGCTTTATTTCTGACATTCAAAATACTCCACTCTTGGCGCCTCGCAAGAGGATCATACGACGACTTATATAACAACTAAAATATTAAACACGAGCATCACTAATTAATCTGTGTGCTTATTACTGTACATTACAGATCATTCCTTGGCCAATGCTCTTGCTTACCTACCTGCGGCACATTTTTCTTTACCATTATTGAAAATAAAATATCCAGCCTCAATTGTTAATGTCAACAATCACTTACTTTTCCTTTACATTCTAAGTCACAATCGTTGATATTTTCAAATAAAATTATAATATGATAATATCCTGTACTGTTCTCGAATGAATTAATTATAGCGAATCGTAGGGAGCACCGTTACTGCTATTTGCTGGCAACATGGTTTACACTTTAGGCGCAAAGAAGGGACATTTTTGCTAAATAAATTATATTTTAAATGAAATTTTTTATTCCCCTGGCTTAGCTTTGCCTTATAAATTTCGGCCATTTGAACCAAAAAGAATTGATATTTAATACTGTGATAACGATATCATAGGTAATTCAAATTTATGATTTTTCATTACGGAGAATTATACGTTTTTTTAGGGAAAATAGAGAGAAAAACACAGAATAAACTAGCTCCTTCCGGCCGACGGTGCAGATTGGCATTCTCTGTTAAAAAAAAAAAAAAACAGAGTATTGGTTTCTCTAATATCATATCATCTATACTCTGATCAAAAATAAATTTTAATCAAACAAAATTATAATTTTTTTACACAGATATATTGCGTTACTCCTTACAGGTTTCAAATTAACTGCATGATCCAGGGAAAAACAAAAATTAACTGCATGATCCATGCCGATGCCGATTTTGCACTGACCTTTTTACAGATAGATAAACGGGCTTGGACTTTAAGGCTTGGAAACATCGATGGGTTGCAAATTGCCCTAGCGTAGCCCACATTTATTTTGAGTTTGCCCCTAGGCTGACTTCATTTTTTTTTTATTTCTTTAATTAGATATTTCTCCAATACGGGAAAGATAATGAATTACTAATAAATAAAATTTATTAATATGAAATTAAATTACTATTTTATAATTAAAAAAATACACCATTTCTTTATCATTTAAATTTCATAAAAAATTGAAGGAATATTGAATAAATACTCCATCCGTTCCTTATTATAAGAGACGAATAACTGAATTACGTTAATAAAAAAACAGTTAAAATTAGTTAAAAACAATTAATGTATAAAAAGTATAATTTTTTCCCAAGAATACCCTCATTAATAAAGAGAGAGAGCATAAGAGAGAAGAATTAAATTATTAAAAGAAAGAGAAGTGGAAAGGAGAAAGAGTGTGAGTTGGAGACAAAATAAATATGAGTAAAATAGGAAATCAACACAAAAAAATAGAGACAACTTTTAAGTATCTCTTATATATAGGAATATACCATAAATATCAAACGTCTTATATTAAGGAATGGAGGGAGTATAAAACAAAACGGTTATAGGGCCGGCTTCAACTTTCACGTCATCATAGCGAATAATCTTTCGTTTAATTAAACCATGGGATTTCCGTTTAGTTAAAATAAATCCGATTACATCACATTGGTGGCAACAAACTGAAACCACTGGCTCTGAGGATCGTCCACACACGAAGGATCAGAATCGGCACAGATGCATGTGGCGGTGACGACGGTGGACGAATTGGCATCCCTTTGCAAGCACAATCGATTGCCTTGTGCGTCCACCGAAGCCCAGTGCATGCCTGACTCTGTTATGGCTTTCCATGAAGTTTGGTTCGTGTTTGAGCAATCCGCCGTGAGCTCCACCGGTTGGCCTTCCCCAGTTGCCTTGAAACACCCCGCTTCCTGTGCATCCTGCAATTTGATCTGTGTTCCTTCCACACTCCACCCGCTCGCCCCGTTACAGTCTTGCACTTCCACTTCATCACCATTCTCCTTCCTCTTCACGCACTGCCCACTTTGTGGGTGATACAGTATCTGCGACGTGGCCTTCTTCGAACTTGGATCTTGGTATATAAGGAAAGAACAGTTAATAACTAAGAAACCGTTTCGAGTTGAGATGAAGAAACACAGGCATACATACATACATACATATATATATATATATATATATATAACATATATACCTTGGAGTGTTTGGAGTATTAGCTGGAACCTGTTAGGGAAGTCGGGGTAACTGAGTGTTTGCCACTGGAAGTCCACCAATCCATAGGACTCTTCTGCGTTGACATTGCCTTCTCTGAGATAATAGCTTCCTTGCAATCCCCACCACGCCCAACCTAAGTCATTGACGGCAAGGTACGCTAAAATGCAGGACAACCACCGTCCGTCGGGTTCTGCTATTGATGGTGAGATTGGGATGCCATATTCGGTCATCAAAAGAGGAGCAGCGTTGGAGCCGGTGATGAGGAACGTAGCATGAGAGTTTAACTCGTTGTACACTTTGCCGCAAAGATAGTTCGCCGACTGGCTGCTCCAATTCTTGTGCTCACCAGACATGGTGTAGCAGTGTACCTCGTACGCAAACTTGTCCTTAAACGTTAAGTTCATTGGCCTGTTGTTCAAAAAGCTCAGATCGTTGTCGTTGGACAAACCCGAAATGAAGACCAACACGTCTGGATTCGCTTGGTGAACAGTCTGTGCTCCTAGGGTCACATTCCCGAACCACCCATCAACGTTCTGAAGTGGACCACGCAACTCATTACGCAAACTCATTGCCACCACCTGAATTAACAGAACAAACTCTTTTCAATAATATTCACGATACCCTTGTACGTATATAAATGAAGTCTAATAGATCATACCACTCACATTGGGTTTTCCCTTCAATAACTGAGCGGCCATGGAGAGGCCTTGAAGCCATTCTTGAGTATCAAAGTTGGTGTCCCCGAAGAAGGCATTGCCGTCGTCGGGAGCACAACACCACTTGGGCTCACTGATGTGGTTATCAGCGAGGACCATGATGTTCTGGGCAGCAAGCCGATCCACCACATAAGAATAGGACTGAGGGTGGCTCATATTGAGGAGATCCCCGTTGTTCTGGGCGATGCCGGCCTTGGCGCCCGTCAAGTTCAGAGAATCAAGCGCTTGTTCAACAGTCTGATTGGAGTAGCGAGTGAACATGAAGGTGGCCCAGGTGAGACGCACGCAGTTCAACCCCAGATCGTGGAATTGGCTTATAATGTGGTCGACGGATTGTTTGTCTAGTCCTTCAGCCAGCATTACGCCCATGTGAGATGGCCAGTTAGCACAGCGTAGCTTCACGCGTTGGCCGGTGCCGGAATCGACGATCCATCTGTTGCTTGCGGATAGTTGAATGCTGGATGATTGGGATGCTAACAGAGCTAGAGACATCATTGAGAGCAGCAGAATCAGTTGATTTACCATGCTTGTGTTAATTATAATTTGCAAGCCTACTACTTGATTGGTGTCTTTGCGTTTCGTTCAAGGTTGCTTAAATAGGCTTATTGGTTACACATAACCATCCCATGAGATAATTTATAAAAATCTGTTTGACAATGTTACAACGTGCCTGGTTACCTCACAAAAGTACTTTTTCTAGCGTCGGGTAATAAAGGAAAAACATATTTTTTCCAAATCCAACATTTTATTGCGTTTGGAGAAAGAACTTTAATTTCAACTAACCTTCCAAACATGCTTACTACTAACGATGCCATGATGAGAGTTTTGGCCAGAAAAAACGATGACATGACATAATTCGTAAAGAAAAAACAAACCCCTTCATTTATTAAATAGAAATCTAAATCATCAATTTTCATCTCTTTTTTATTTAGTCAAAATTAAATTTCACCTCCAATTTTTCTGATATATGCATCTTTGATCATCATGATGCATCCAAATTTAAGCCGTACATTTTTTTTTAAATTTCTTTCTACAACTTTGACTATATAACTAATATATCTCTGAGTTAAAATATGTTGACATTCTATTTTTTCCACTTGTTCTTTCTTTTTTTAACCTTTGCATTTTAGACAGTGTGCAGAAACAAAGAAAACAACACACATATCCTAAACAATGAAACATAACAGAAACAACATACCAAAACAACATCTGAAAACAAAACATACAGACATAACAAAATAAACCTATACCAGCTCTATCACCAACACATAACATATTGAGACCTGCTAAATCAACTCCAAAGAGGATGGCGGTTCAAGCAACCAACCTTCCGGTACCACGGCTCTCAAAGCCTCCGCTCAGCTAAATGATAAAGCCCAAATAATTAAACAGAGCCATTCTTCGGCGCCACCAAAATGCACGTCTTTATGGACCAAATTACAAATGCCCAATTACTTATATAGACCCGTCTCGGCTGACCCACTCTTCCTTGTTTCAATGAACCTTCTATGGCCCCAACCAACTTTTGATGTGCCTCAGATCACATGCTTTAATGAACTTCCGATTATGCCAACATTGTTATGGTTAAATTTTGGGCCTAGGCCTTCTACCAAAAAATGCCCTTCATGGATCACTTTAATTTGCGGTTCACACGATACCCATCAATGTAATTGTGCCATGGTCCCAAAAAAAAAAAAAATCAATGTAATTGTGCAAGGCAAACAAATATCTTATCTTAAAAAAAAAAAAAAAAAAGCGCAAAGCGAATATTAAATGACTAGCATATTGTAGTGTTGGAGATCAGCACCTCATGCGGATAAGGCGCCCAGACACAGTACAGGTAGAGACAAATTGTGCATGAGATAATTATGAGACGTAAACCGCTTGAAATCAAGCTAGATTTAAGTGCTTTATATATATATATATATATATGGTATTAATGCCACAGCGAATAATCTTCAACTGCCAAATCAAATGAATGTAAAAGAGTGGGAATAATCAAAAAAAGAGAGTGGGAATAAAAAGAGGTTTAGATATAAATGAACTATTGAGAAAAGAGTTTAATTAACTGACTAATTCCAAAAGCGGTTCATCATTTATTAATGAAACTAAATCCGATTACATTACATTGGCGGAAACGAACTGAAACCACTGGCTCTGGGGATTGTCCATACACGAAGGATTAGAATCGGCACAGATGCATTTGGCGGTCACGACGGTAGACGACTTGGCGTCCCTCTGCAAGCACAATCGGTTGCCTTCTGCGTCCACGGTAGCCCAGTGCATGCCTGACTCTGTTATGGCTTTCCATGATGTTTGGTTCGTGTTCGAGCAATCCGTAGTGAGCTCCACCGGTTGGCCTTCCCCAGTTGCCTTCAAACACTCCACTTTCTGTGCGTTCAGCTGCAATTTGATCTGCGTTCCTTCAAGAATCCACCCACTTACCCTGTTACATTCATGCACTTCCACTTGATTACCATGCTTCTTCTTCTTCATGCACTGACCACTTTGTGGGTGATACAGAATCCTCGACATGGCCTTCTTCGAACTTGGGTCTTGGTATATATTAAAACCAGTGTTAATAACAAACTAAATAAGCATAATTAGCGTTGAGTTGAAAAATGTGATACGTATATGAATGCATATAATTAATATATGTACCTTGGAGCGATTTGAGTACTAGCTGGAACCTGTGAGGGAACTCGGGGTAACTGAGTTTCCGCCAATGGAAGTCCAACAATCCATAGGACTCTCCTGGGTTGACACGGCCTTCTCTCAGGTAATAGCTACCTTGGAATCCCCACCAACCCCAACCCAAGTCACTGACAGCGAGGTACGCTAAAATACAAGTCAACCATCGTTCAGCAGGTTCTGTCCTTGGTGACAATGGTATTCCATATTCAGTCATCAAAAGGGGAGAAGGGTTGGAACCAGTGGTGAGGAACCCAGCCTTGCTGTTTAATTCGTTGTTCACTTTGCCGCAGAGATAGTTCGCTGACTGCTTGCTCCAATCCTTGTGCTCACCTGACATGGTGTAAGAGTGTACCTCGTAGGCCAACTTATCCTTAAACGTTAGGTTCAATGGCTTACCCTTCAAAAAGCTCAGATCGTTGTCGTTGTAAAAACCCGAAATGATAATCACTGCGTTTGGGTTCCATTGATGAACGGTTTGTGCTCCTCGGATCATATTCTCGTACCACACATCGACGTTTTGAAGGGGACCACGTAGCTCGTTGCGCAAGCTCATTGCCACCACCTAAATTTACAAAATCTACGCAAATTAGGGATATTCATCAAGGAATCACAGACACAGGCAGAATCTGTAGGATTAGTTTAGAACTCACATTGGGTTTTCCCTTCAATAACTGAGCCGCCATAGAAAGACCCAGAAGCCATTCTTTGGGATCAAAATCCTTGTCGCCGAAGAAAGCATTACCGTCGTTGGGAGCACAACACCATTTGGGCTCACTGATGTGGTTATCAGAAATGACCATGACGTTCTGAGAAGCAAGCTGATCCACCACAAAAGAGTAGGCTTGAGGGTGGGTCATATTGAGCACAACACGATTGTGCTTGATGATGCCGGCTTTGGCGTCCGCCAAACCCAGAGAATCAAGTGTCTGCTGAACGGTGTGATTGGAGTAACGAGTGAACATGTAGGTGGCCCAAGTGAGACGCACACAATTCAGCCCCAAATGGTGGAATTGAAATATAATATGCATTATGGATTGCTTGTCTAACCCTTCTGCCAGCATCACACCCATATGAGATGGCCAATTCGCACACAGTAACTTCACGCGTCGTCCTGTGCGGGAATCCACGATCCATCTGTTACTTGCAGAGAGAGGAAGGCAGTATATGTGAGAGGCTAACAGAGCCATTGAGAGCAGAAGCATCCATTTTAAGTGATTTCCCATATATTCTTGTGTTGTTATCCTCAGCAAGCATTGGTTTATTTGCTCAAATATATAGCCTCTCCTCCCCCACCTGCCCCATCCTTTTTCTTATTTTAGGACGATTTCCCATTAAACATCAGATTTTGATATGATGATTAACATTACAAGGATGAGCTGGAGGCCCAGAATTCGGGAAAAAAACATATAAGCTGAAGTAGAACGTAATACGAGAATAAAAGGGGAGTTAAGGAAAGGAAGGAAAAAAGCTAACTCATCGAAAGTGGAAAAACAGCCACCGGAGATAATAATGATCATTTATCCAATGGTTTCAATATGGATAAGAGTCTAGTCATCTAGTAATAACTAATTAAGGCAAAAATAAAAACAACTGCCAGATTTTGTAATTTATACCACTCTGCTGCTTATTGTAAATTATTTGTAAGAGAAAAGTTTAGTGCCAACTGCCAAATGTAAGTCCGACCTTTTTCCAATATTACCCCTATTTTAATTTATGTTCTAAAGAGAGAAAGAGATGCGAATGATTTATAAATATATAAAGGGAATTTTTTTTTTTAAAAAAATCAATTTAAGAATATTTCATAATTTAGCTGTAATTTCTTTAGATGTGAGAATGAGTTACACATATAAAATAACTTACAATAGACACGACCACAGCGAGTAGTAATTAGGGGAATTTGATTCTTTAATTAAGTTTTAGGATACTTCAGAAAGTAAATGCCGGAGATTCTGCCTTTTTTTCATTACAAGTGATTCTACTTTTACAACTTTTTTCTTTTGCCTTTTCTTAATACATACTTTTTCGTTTCTTTTCTTAATTTTCTCCCTGACTTTCCTTTTCCACATAAAGTGGGTTCCTTGATGCATGTATGAAAAATGTTGGCAAAAAAAAATGTATGAAAAATTCTTGTATATACTATACTCCCTACGGAGACTCGTAACTCTCATGCACAGGTACAGACGAGTTCACACTGACATTCATGGGAAGCAGGGAAACAAAAGTAACAGTAGTATTGCGTTAAGACTTTAAATTTAAATGCTTGTATTAATATGCAGAAGTTATTTAAGTTTACAAGTTGAAATCTCAGTTTACACACACACACACACACAAAAACGATAAAAGAGCAACCAACGCGAAAATTCTAAAATATTCAGTTAAATTTCGTATTTACTTTTTTGCCGTCATCAATTTCATCGGCTAGAATTATAACATTTCTGGATATAAATGGTGAAGCAGGCCCCAAAAAAAGGATATATAACGATGAAAATTTCAGATTATCAAATTTATGTTTGACCAAAGTAGGGCCGATATTTCAATCAGCTAAATTTTATCGATATATGTAAATTTCTACCAATATATCTTCAACCGCTTAATTAGAATGTTTTTAGTTAAAAAAAAAACTTAGACTAACAAGTATCAGTGGAAGGGGCTTTGATCATTTAAGTGCAAATTCTCAAATTTGAATTTCTGTGAAATGCAGAAAACGCGAGAACTACCCTCAACTACCGAACATTGTTTGAATGTCTTGTTCTATTAAATAAAAATGTAACCTATTAAAATTCACCTCACAACTTCTTCTCACTGTTGATAAATATATTTATTGGGTTTCTTGAGTATTTAGAAGTGTTCCAACTTTGAGTTACTAAATATTTAAATCGTTTACTTTTTAAAGTATTATTCTACTGTATTTTTTATTTCATGCTTACTCTTTTTTTATTTTTTTAATAAAACATATTAAAAATTATTTAATTCATTCCATTTCATATTTACTAATACGATTTTTATGAGTACGCAAAAAATAAATGTTCATATGCGATAAGTTCCAATAATCAATAGAAGTTCAATATGGAATTAAATTAAATTCAATAAAAAATTAATATAATAAATGCCTTTATATAAAAGCCGTTTATTGGCAGAGAATTATATATATATATATATATATTCCAAAAAACTTAATTATTTACAAACCGTAACCACTTGCAAATACAAAAATTTAATACGTAAATATACAAGTTTAATTTTTAAATGGGATCGGAACAATAATTAATTTTCACATTTAAAATTGTTTGTAATTTTGTTTAATTTTTTTGGTACAATAATTTTGTTTAATTTTTAATTATAAAGCACATACGCTGTTTCAATCGACATTGCAGAAGCAGATCTTTATCGGGATTTCACTTCTTGCCCACACGCACATTCATATATATATTCATAGGGATTACTATTATGCATACTGCCTTCATAAAGTAGCCAGGCCTAATCTCAATCTAAATTTAACTTTGCAGAGATATTTTACCTTGCTCCTTTCTTCTCCGCACCACATGCCCCAGATATTTTGTATTGATTTCTTTTTTAAATTAACAAAAAACGGAGAAGATCCAAACTCCTCAAAATTGAAAGTTAGCTAGCAAGGCAAAGGTTTCTTCATGGATTAACATTTTTTTTTGGGGGGGGGGGGGAGAAGACAGCAACTATATAGTTCAAAGCTCTAATTTAACACGATCCACAGAAAAGCTCAACATCTGTTTTCTCCCTGAACAACATGACTCATGGCTAAGTCTGTAACTGCTGGTTTAAACTAGACTTGTCTTTTCTTTTCTTTCTTTTTTTTCCCTGTACTATTCCTATTATGCCTCATTTATTCTGGAGATCTATTTATGAAGCCGCAAAAGATAAGATGAAACGTCCCAGCGATCCATGTCATGGAATACTGGTCTTAGGACTGGGATAGGGAAGCGGATAGTAAGGGCGAAAGGGCGAGTTGGGTAAGCTCCTGGAGGAGGACGGGCTGGGTAAGCTCCTGGAGGAGGACGAGCCGGGCTGTGATAGGCCGTGAGCAGCCATATTGGACTGGAAAGAGGTTGAAGCAGTGAGATACGTATCGTTGAGTTCAAGCAAAGGCTCTAAGATTGCAACAACCTCAGACATGACTGGTCTTGCTTTGGGGTGGCGGGCAAGGCAACGAGCTGCGACGTGGGACGCCGCCTGAGCTCCTCTGATAGAGTAGTGACCTTGAAGACGAGGATCCATCAGCCTGTAGAATCTCCTTCTGTCAGCAAATATGGGCCTTGCCCATTCGACCAAACTGTGCTCGCCTCGGGGACGATTCTTGTCCATGGCCTTTCGACCAGTCAGCAATTCTAGCAGAACTACCCCGAAACTGTACACATCACTCTTCACAGAAAGGTGTCCTGCAACAACATTCATCAGCTTTATCAAATGCACAAGTCTCAAATAGTAAGGATGTCTCGATCGGACAAACATATAAAATAACCAGACACTTTATTACCCATTAAACTTAACCTAAAATTGAACTAGACGTTTATAAACAGATTGCTAAAGACTAATAATAAGATTGCCATTTTCCCATCCACTTTAGATCAATGGCCTCCGTGAAATACACTCGATCGGGTACTCATGAGCAGGCACCTTTTTAATTACCCATTAGCGGATGTCTTGGTATTTAAGTGCAAAGTTTGGCTTCCGAAATTAAAGTTCATCTTCCAAGCAGCAAAAGGATACGGAATTAAGAATTTCTCTATATTAAGTCTGCTTTTAATGCAGCTGCCGCTCCAGCAATACCCTAGCCACTTCAATATATTAAAATTTTGGATTTGAGCAGTCAGCCGCCCCATCTCATCTGCTGCCCCGTCCTGCCTGTCAATTTTCCCTCACTTACCAAATGTTTTTTGTTGTTTCTTTTTATTATTAGATTCTACATGAAATGAGTGAAATTTTGATATTTCATGAGCAAAAAATGATTTTTTTCCTCTTTTTTTTTTAATGATTTTTCAAAGAACTTGTATCTAAATTTTTTTAAAAAAAAAAACCACGCCAATTTTAGAGTATTTTTTCTTAGAAAATCATAAAAAAAACTGAAAACGACACTATTTTAGCTTAAGAGATATCAAAATTTTACTCATTTATGTAAAATATAATGATAAAAAAAATAAGACAAAAATTGGAAAGTAGGAGAAAATTGAAGGGCAGTAGAAGAGGTAGCAGAGATGGCGTGGTTGACACCTCAATTCCCACAATTTTTGGGGTATCTTTAGTTTTAATTACCTCATCTGACCTTTCATTTTTGATATCGAAAACATGCATATATACTATTGCAATTGGATTGAAGTTTTGAAGAGCTGACTGTAAGTTTATGTTGTGATCACTATATATATATATATATATATATATATATATTATTACTTCTTAGAGTGCCAAGCTCACAAAAGTTGAAAAAGAACTCGTGATTTTCGATTTCTCGATGGACAATCTTGTGCATGTGTTAGGTATGGAGCTAGAGATTTAAAAAAAAAAAAAAAAGCCTAAATGGTCCAGGACTAATAAAGCATATCTAAAGCCAGCATTTCCGTCTTTCTTAATTCCCACTATATATAATTGTTACTTCTTATGATGTGAATTTGAACTACGTATATTGATTCTTATATATTGACTTGCATCAGCCAACCTAAATGCTACTTGCACTTCCTAAATAACCTCTTCTTAAAACTAGTGAGCTGTTAGACCTAAGCAGGATTGTCTGTGTTGTAGCTGAAGTCACGAAAGGCACTGGCCAGAGACAATCACACAAAAACTACAATAAATGGGAAACACAGGCAGAAGTTTAGCCGTGAGAGAGGAATATCTACTACGGTAGAATAGCTATTCTTATTCAAGGGATAGATAGCATAATACAGACGCGTGCATCAAAGTAAGGGTAGTTTTTAGGTAAACTGACCTGTCATGACATACTCGGGAGCCGCATACCCAAATGTTCCCATGACTCGAGTGGACACATGAGTTGAGTCCCCCTCCGGACCGTCCTTGGCAAGCCCGAAATCAGAAAGTTTTGCATTATAATCCTGAAATACAAAATAATGAGATACTATACGACAGGAAAACCATACACTGAAAACAACCGTATATATAAATATAAGTTAAAAATCTTCAGTACAGTCTCATCACTACTGACCGCATCCAGCAGGATATTGGATGTTTTGAAGTCCCTAAAGATCACTGTTCTGTCAGCTTCTTCATGCAGAAACGCAAGCCCCTTCGCAGCACCAACCACAATCTTCAATCTGATCGACCATGGAAGAGGCGTTGACCCTGGTAATAACACAGCACTATTATTTTCTCATATATCTACCGTGGCCTTAAGGTTAACTGGAGTACTCATCAATTATTCGATTCTTTGTATATTGATAATGAAGGATTTCTATTATTTCTTTTTTCCTGCACGGATGATTACACATACAAACCTCTATTCATTAAGTAAACAAAGTTCAAAGACATACTCCTAAACAGGTGGTTGTCCAAGCTTCCTCGAGGCATGAACTCGTACACAAGCAGCCTTTTTTCTTCCTCAATACAGTAACCTATTAATTTCACTAGATTCGGATGCTGGAGTTCGCCAAGATAATTAATTTCAGTCTGCAATGGTAAAAAAACAGCAAAAGATGTTATTTTTCCTGAATAGTCCAAAATAAACAAATAATTGTAAACTTAAAAATTTTTCCAAGAAAAGGAGAGGTGCAAATATATAGCCAGCACGTTAATAAGTATATTTAGGGTAAACGAGATCTCATACAAGCCATTCTTTGTGGCCTTGAAGTCCTCCATGGTTAAGTATCTTCACTGCAACTGGAATTCCCGAGCCCGTTGATCTTGCTTGTTTGATCAGACCTTTAAAAACACAACCAAAACCCCCCTGGCCAAGAATGCTGCTAGGTCTAAAGTTGTTTGTGACTTCCTTGAGCTCATCAAAAGAAAACCTTCTAAGATAGGAAGAGAATTTTATTTCCTCGAAGTACGATAAGGAAGATGCAGCTGAATCCGATTTTCTGGTAGAGTTGCTTTCTGCTGATGAATAGCAGGAAAATGATATCAAATCAAACATAACAGAAAAATGAATGCATGTTTGCCCTTGACATATTCAAAATTTGTTAAAAAGAGCATTGACATTGTACTTGTACAGAAATGACATAGAGACTGTACAAAAATTATGGAGATTCAGATTTTGCTAAAAAAAAACCATACAAAGTTCCAGAAATTTAATTTATAAAATAAAAGAAATTAACAGTCCCTCCGTTGAACAGTGAAACAACAGTATTTCCCATTCATCTTTTCTATAATATGTTAATATGTTTATTAAACATGATGATTGATGCATGTTTAGAATTAAAAGCAACGCTCATTCATTCAACAATACTTCAATTCACTGGTAATACCATCGACTGAATAAGGAAATCTCTAGACGGATCTAGTGAACATTAATAATGCTGCACGAACATGTCAAAAAAAATGATAGAAAATATCCACAGCAAATCTAAATGCAAGCCACACAAGGAACTCATGGGCAGGTCATGCGGCACATTCTTCAGCCGCATTCCTTTCTAACCTTTCCCATATGCAAATGTAACTCGGCTATGAAGAATTCATGGACACAGAACAAAATGAAATCAAGGATCCAGAAAGCACATCCATCATGAGCCAAAATTCAATTGAAATGTCAAACCAAGTCATTGGCGGCCATAGAATTGTAGCCGCTTGCTAGTTTTGATTGAAAGTAGGGTAAATTTATGTGGCTTCCTTCCTGTATTTGGTGTTGATACCAAATAACATTATATTATGAGAGCTTAAGGCAAAAATTCTTTTATGCTCCTGATCGACTCTGCAAATTAGGTGGCTATTCAAGTTTTTTTTTTCCCTTGAAGAATAGAGTTTACAACCCCAGAAGAAAGGCCACTCAGCAATGTCATTGACTACTGGTATAAATCTGACTCTCCAACGTAATATACTATGTTGATTTTGAAACATTTGGTGGCCTTTCAACTTTCAGGGACCGACCTTTGAGCCAGTTGCACATAAGTTAGACAAAGAAAACCTGAAAGTATGGCTCCAAAAATGAATGTCATTGCAACTCGCAAACTCTTTCCATACATAACAAATGAAATACCACTATCAGCTGGCCATTTACGCTGGAAATGCTTGGCAATGGCAAAAGAGAAATGATATATGACAAGAGGATAGACGAAGGTGAAAATTTGATTCTGTCAGAGAAGAAATTAACGCGCCACGCCCATCTTATTACAGATAATTCTCGAGCTGAATGTATCACACAGTATTACGTCAACGTCAATCATGCTCATAATTGTGCTGTCTAGCTACTTATAAGGAGGGGTAAATTATCTGGAAGTAGTTTTCAAAAGTTGATCGAAAAATCGAAATAAAATGATGTAAACTCGAGCAAGAACACTCAAACAAAATTGAACAGCATCCTGCGGACTAATACCAGAGCCGTCCTCTTTGGGCTTTAAAAATAAGCAGCTTCCGACGATAGAGCTTAATTTCATCCACCATTTCGGACTTCTAGATTCGACGTCATTCTTCTTCTTTCCCTTTGATTTTCCGAGGTCCGAAGCACCATCCATTTCTTCAGAACCAAACACGAGATACGCATTCACCTGCAAAGTTCCATTTATGACACCGTCGACAAAACTTCAGCGCAAATTCATCGGGAAAAAAACCAACGGAACATGCACCGAAGAGCAGAAACGACAAATGCAGAGGGAGAAAGATACGAAAACTCCAAATTCTAAAGTAAACCGGGGGAAGAAATCGAAAGTCAGAGAAGCCCTTAATCATGAAACATGAACATAGAAAACGAATTAGCTCGCATGAAAAATGGGGCTCGAAAATTCTATTCGCTAAGACGTTAACACGGAGACGATAAAAGAGACATGCAAGACAAGAAGAGAAAAACATCACCAGAATGCAGTCTGGCGGAGCGAAGAGAGGAAAGTCGCGAATCGAGATATGGGAAACTGGGGGCTGGTGGAAAAGAGAAACGCTTGAGTTGAACGTAAAGAAAGAGCAGTTTATATAGTAGTGGGCGCTGTGAGTGAGGCTGAGGCGCACTTACAGATGTCAGAGTCAGTGAGATACAAAGACGCGAGCTTTGTGTCGAAGAGCGAGAGTGCAAAAGGGAACCGGGAAGAGAATAGAGAGAAAACGTGCGTTAAGGAGGAAAAGGAGAAAGGGAGAGGAGAGAGAGACAAAAATAGGCCTGAATGGGAAGAAGATGTTGGTTACTCATTGAATGCAAACTGATAGTAATTAAGAAAGGGAAATGAATTTGAAATGGAAATTGAGATATCAGAAAAGGAAGAGAGCATCAGATGATGAATCACCGGAGGAGAAGAGCAGCGAAGCCCAAGTCTGCAAGCAACACTAACCTCGTGGATACACCCACTGCAAATTATAACGCATATTCACTATTCAGCAGGATCAAGGTGCATGAATTTTGTTAGTTTTAATTTCGGCTCAAAAATTTCTTTGCCTTATTTCAAATTTATATCTTATCACGTCATTCGATGAGAAATTTGTCTGTTTATATAACTAATGCTAACAAAATTAAGGATGTGCAAGAGATTTATTTATATTGTTTATTGTCTTCAGCTTGACATATACTTTTTTTATTATGTACTCGCCTGAAAGGAATAAAATTTTTCAAAGTTAAGTTTCTTAAAAGTAAATTTGGCAAAGGAAGGAGAACAAAGAAAGAAAAAGGGGAAATGAAAGAAATGGGAAAATAAAAGGGAAAATAGAGATGGAAACTGAAACTGGTGGAAATAACTTATTAGGGGGGCCCATCATTCCATCTACAGCTCCTCTGGCCGAAGAATTTATAACACAAAACAAATTACTTAATTTATATTTTTTAAAAAAAATTATCATCCAGCCGTAGGCAAACGGGGAAAAAACATCACCCAGCCATCCAGCCTTCCTAGTAGTTTTCATTTCTTTAGTCTCATTAATTAAAATTGTGTATAATTCATAAATAGTGAATTTATTTTTTTAATTCTGTATCTATATGTAGGATCTACGATAATTTTGGTAATCTGAAATTAAATATATTTTTGTTATACTTATTAGAATATCTTACTGGGAAAAACCTTAGGTCAAATTCTTTATATTCACTACGTCAAGTTCTCTAATTATACACGGACATGTATTCTATTTTTAAATATTAGTATTTAATAGCATTTAATTATAAATTTACATTCTTTCTCAATATCCTTTCTTCTTCTTCTTCACTTACTTGATTATGGTGAGGGGATCTATAGAGATATTTAAAAAAAATTGATAAATATGAGAAATAGATCTTTTATTTAGGATCAAAATTAACTTAATATTAGGTCTTATATTAAGGAACGGAGAAGTATTTTATAAAAACTTATAATTTGAATTGAAATGATCAGAACTTTAAATTTAGATTAACAATTTCAATAGAATATATTTTTAATTAAATTTTTGTATAAAGTAAAAGCAACGTGAAATTAAGGGCACACGTGTTAGTAACTTTATCTTCCCCCGAATTCAAATAAAATATTTCCTCTATTCTTAACACAAAAGCTACTCAATTAATTTAGATCGATTAAAAAATTTAAAATTTTTTAATTATAATTAGAATGGTCTTCAATTTCATAAAAAATTAATTGAATTAAAAAATTTCAAAGCCAGGGGAGCATATCAAAGGATAATATACAAACTAGGCTGCATATCAATTTGAATCACTTTTTTTTTTTTTGGACTGAAGGATCAATTTGAATCACTTAGAGAAAGTTATATAGTTGATTGAATGTGACGCGCAGCATTTTTGGTAGATTAATTTGATTTCTAAATCCAGCTTAAGACTAACGCGAGTCTCGTATATTGAATTAGCATATAGTAAATTAATTAAGACGTAACAAAATAATGTTACCGAGACGACCAAACATGCCTTAGGGAAGCGTGTTCATTCTTCTTCTTTGTTAATTGTTTGGGAATATGAGCAAGAGATGAGATGAGATACCCAGAAAGGAAGAAGAGTGGATTGAGATCCAAGTTCTGATGAGCAAAGCAGAAAAAAAATGAATCGGGCATTAATGAAGTCGGATTTTAATATCTATTGAATATTTAATCTAGTTGACTTGATCTCATAATCATGTGTGTTTTCTATTTTATTTCTTCTTTCTGGGAAATCATGTGCCTTTCTTTTTATTTCCTTTTTAAATTTCTTTGGTATCAGCCATTTGGCATTGCAGTGACTAACTGGGTGACATTGCTCGCGCATCAAGTGGCTTTAATTTATATATTTATGAGGTCTTGATTTTTTGGGGAAAACGAGCAACTTTATTAGGGGATGTGATACTTTTTTTTTAGAAGTTGCAAATTATCATCACTTGGGCTTAATAATTAAATGGGTATTTTAATTGTAAAATTTGACACTAGATTACTCAAGGACCATAGTTCTAAAATATAATTAATTATACAATATCATGATCTTAAAATAAAAGTCCAGTCATCATCACCCAAATTGTCATTTCCCACTGCATTCATAGTCAAAACCGTATTACACCAAACAAGATACATTTGTTTCATATCATCAATTTAACATATATAACAAGACGCCCAATCAACAATGTTTTTTTAAATTTTTAACGGCAACATTCCATACTCTAAAAAATTAAAACTTTTTTTTTTCTGTATTTTCATATTATATTCAGTTTTCCTTTTATCCTGGCGGCACATATGGCAGTTTTACCAAAAATAGACTGGTGGTGATCTATTTTACTCTCTTGTCCTAAATATGAAACTTAGTTAAGAGATTTGTTTTGGTCAATTTTTAATCTTCTTTAATTTTCTTATTAATATTTTCCCCTACATTAACCTAATTTCACAATTTTTTTTGCTCTCGTTATCTCTCATATTTGATACTTTTTTTAAAAAAAGATGTGTATTTTCAGGAATATAATGTGATACATATTTTTAACTTAATTAATTTTTTTACTATCCGTAAATTAGTTAATTAAATTTTACATTTAGGATTAGAAGGAGTATAAACAATGAGATTTAGGTGAATCATGTTGTTGATGAGTTGTGAAATTTTTTTAATTAATTTTATGCTATGTTTCCTGATACACATTGAGCTGGAAAAATTTTACGAATTGGCAAGTATTTTAGTAATATAAGTTGGGGTCCATATATATGAAACGAAGTGACATGATCATTAATGGGGAAATCGTAACATTCTAGTTCGACCACGCGTAAGCATTAATGGGTTGGGTATGTTGCCACATCCATCAGTGTAATGTGCATTATGGCCACGCTACTCTGTCTAGCCAAGTCATGCACTGTCCAATAATATTGTTCATTATGCATAGGAATGTTTCCTCTGAATGGTCTAAATCATATTTTAATTTTTATCGTTCTTTACTTTTTAGTTGACATCGCTCAAATAAAAAGATATCAAAATAAATACATTTTAACAAATAAGAATGCAATAAATTGGACAACATAATATCGGAAAGATCATACAGCTCCTACTGGTTTCTAATTACTACCTCTACTTTAATATAAGAGCTGGTTGGAGATTCAAGTTGATTATAAATATAATACTCCAAATTCACTTTGTTTCCAATATTTATCTATTTCTCCCCAAATAACCTCCACAGGGCATGCATATGTTAAAAGGTTTTTATCAAGGGATAACTTCAATGCACATTATTAACAAAATATTTTTGGGAACGACAATACTAACTTATTACAACTAACTATTTAACTATTTTTTTTCATTTTCATAAATTAGTTATCTAACTCTATATATCTCCGTTTCTTAATATAAAAGTTAGTTTGACTTTAAATTTGATCCTAATATAAGACTCCAATCTACTTTGTCTCTCATATTTATCTATTTTTTTCAAGATACTCCTTATAGTAGCTGCATACATTTAAATTTCTCATTAAATGACACTTAACTAGTAAGGTATTTTTAAAAAAACAACACATACTACCCCCAGTCCTAATTATAGGCTTCATTTGCAGTCTACAAACGAGATCTTATAAATAAGACTGGGGGTAGTATTTATTATAAATAACTAACTTGACTAATTACCTTAATTTATTCAAATTAGTCAACTAATTTTTATATTAAGAACCAGAGGTAGTATTAAGTAATCAAGGTGGTAGTATCTAAACTCATACTAACTTCGTTCTAATTAAATTCATACAGCTCATGCCGAATATTCTCTTTCAATTCATTGGGGTTTATATGGAATCGGAAAATAATGTCGTTTGTTCTAAAAAAAAAATGCAAGTAATTTAATGATGCATGCATGTGCCAACTGAAAAATTGTACAAGGTTTTAAATTTCAAATACCTCGTGTTTATATGTTCTGCATTTTCTAGTTTGAGCCTTCCTGTAATTAATATTCAGTAGTTTGAACGGTGCGAAATTCTAGAAGACTATTCAATTTAGAGGATGATTGGTCTCTATTACATATCCTTCTCATCATTTTTCTCTACTCCCATTCAGTTTTTTTCCCCTTAAGAAAAATGCTTTTAAGATGCCCAAGGGAGCCTACGAAGACAGGAAAAGGACATGTGTGAATTGAATTCTTTTTCGGGTTGAATATCTAATATATAATAGGCAATCTCTGTTAGCTGTAAAGTGAATACCAGTGGAGGCAGTAAGATTTGCGAGTTATTATTCATTAAATTAGGATGGCTTTGTAGTTTTTAATTGACCATAGCTGTTAAGATACTTTGGTGATAAAGTGTCCTTCAAAACAGCGATACATCTTTTTCTACTTGTACTGCGTCTTCCCATCTAAAGTGTCCTTCATGTTTTTCCAACATATTACTCAGTAAGTAGTGTTTGCTCTATAATAGAGGAATCCACCCCCCACTCTATACATTTCAAATATAATTAAGCCCTTTACAACAACTTCTGGCAGATACGTACAGAGAGCGAGAGAGAGAGAGATGGTTTTGCTTTGGTAGTATGTCACATGGATCTCCGATCATAACACAGTTAAATAGTTTCCCTCGTCAGATTATTAAAATATGCTAACTTCCCAACATCGTATTCACGATACTAACACCATCATCTTTGCTGCATGCGGAGAAGTCGATCTTCGGAAAACATTGAGTTCTTTATCATCAAATCTGTTTAAATTAACTTTTGTGCGTATAATAATAAAATATTCACTACTTCGTATGAATATAGGAAAAAATGTATTTCACTGCAACCACGGACAGATTATCTTCTCAAAAAAAAAAAAAAAAAGGTAGGAAAAAAAGAAATCAAACGTGGCCTGGCCTTTGATATTTTTTCTGTCTCTTTTTCTCATCTGTTATGGGATTGTGTGCACAGAATCCCCCAAAACCCCACCTCTTCTACTTCTCTGTGCCATGCATCTTGCTTGCTTTTTAAACTCCCAACTAGATTTGGCTCTTGTTCCTAAGAAGGAGAGAGAGATGGCTGATGACGATGCCTCTCACCCTTTTAAAAGTCAGTCGCTGATTCAGATCAGGTGAACTTTCTTCAAACATCTTTCATGATATGATCTCATGATTCCAAAGCACCCAGCACCAAATAAAATATATATATACTCAATCACAGAATGCAAACAGGGAATCCTATTTCTTTTCATGGCCCCATACTTGCATGCCAGAGCTGGAACTCCACTTAGGGGCACATGTACCTTAACTAGTATTACTAATTTAATGCTTTTTTTATTGCAAACCTAACCAACATATATATATATATATGTATGTATGTATGTGGGATAATTGCAATACTTTAAAGTGTCTATGGGGAAAGAAGGTGCACTACTTAAAAGCCCACCGTTTCCTCACTCTTGAAAGTAGATTTGCTCAAGCAAATTTTATACACCAATCTATCTCACAAACATAAACTGAAACTTATGGAGTAATAACTAGGGAAATTAATTAAGGTGGAGCTGTAATAATAAGCTTAGGTTTCTTCTGAATTCTTCAACCGTCTCAATTCTGATAATCTGTGGTTCAATGAAACTGGTGGTGGTCAGGCCAGGGCCAGAAATTCTGGTGCTCGTCGACGCCGCCATGAAACATGTTGGACAAGCTTTCATCTTGAAGTTCTGATCTGGATGAGCATTGGAGGAGCTGGGTTATGCTGGTTGGCTTAAGGGCATTAGAGGGAAGAAGGCTTTTACCATTCTGTACTGAAGTTAGAGTACTGTTTAGAAATTGTGATCTTGAGAGATCCAAGTTAATATCCGAGCTATTCTCAGTACTCCCGTTGCTCCAACAAGCCTCTGGTTCTTTCTTAAATTGATAGTTCCGCCCTCACAGCAATCTCTCCCCCTTAAAGCTTGTATCTGCAATTTCACATCATCCATATAAAGTAAAAACAACACGTATGCATATGCGTCCGATATCCAACCTGATGTGTCTTCCAAGTGGATATTTAAAATTCAATGAGATTGAATGCAACCCCATGTCTGTTCATGGCAACTAAATATCTATATTTCAGAAAACAGAGAAGAAAATGAAAAACTTCACATTGGCTAGTATTTAAATGTACTTCGATTCTGAGTTCTGATGTTCTGACACTGTGCTTCTGACTCTTGACAAGAACGATCAACTAACCAAGCAGAAAGATGGTGAGGGAATCGATGACTTTTTTAAAGTCATTAATACACAGAATCAATCCATGGATTGAATCAATAAAATGGAGACTTTTCATGTCTATATATATAAAGAGAGAGCACCGAAACTCAAACACGAGAAAATCCGTTGCTCAACCAGAGAGTTAAGGTGATTGAATTTCAGAAGGTGAGTGAAGAAGTTAAAAGGTAGCGAAATAGAAACTAGAAAATAACTATAAAGCAGCAGCAGTCCCCTAAATCCAAGCATATACTGAATACGTAGGGGTTGACAAGACTAGAGCCAGAATCAAAATATGTAGCTGTTCAATAAACGGGAAAAAAACAGCGACCCTAGACGTAGATGGATGCTAATTAAGTTCAAGTTTTCCCTTTTGCAAAAGTTTCAGGAAATTGATTGAATCACTGATAGCTAGATGTGTACCTCAGCGTGTAATTTGTGGTTATGAGCCTTAAGGGCATCGTTGTCAGCCTTGAGAGCTTCAAACTTCTTCTTGAGAGCTTCATATTCCTTCTCGAGCTGCTTGGTTTTCCATCTGGCCCTCCTATTCTGGAACCAAATAGCGATCTGCCTCGGCTGAAGGCCCAGAGCCTTGGCCAGCTGCATTTTGCGTTCAGGCTCCAGCTTGTTCCCTAACTCGAAACTCTTTTCCAGTGCCTTCACTTGTTCCATGTTCAGTCTCTTCTTCTTCTCCCCATCAGCTGAGATCCATCATCGGACAGCTCTTCATCCTCATGCTTGTTCTCGATCCCTGAAAATGACACGGATCTCTTCAACACCAAAGGTACTGCACCGCCTGTGTACGATTAGCAATTATATATACACATTATGAATAAATAAAAGAAAAGTACACGAGAGAAAAGAGAATATATATGTGTATGACCTTCGAAGAACTTGGGTGTGAAGGAGTTATAGGCGTTGATGGAGGTGGAAGGGAGTTGATCATGATCTTCGTGGGTCTGAAACAGAAAGTGTGAGGAGGGAAGGCCATGGGAAAAGCAGATGAGGGCAGTATCATTAATTCATGCAAGTGGAAGCGATGGAGAGAACCGATCGAAACAGGGCTTTTTGGTGCGTTATGGAGGGGTCTCTAGCTATATACCAAAGGAAGGGGTGACGACGTTCACAGGGCTTGGCTCTCACTCTCATGGTGACAGGGTTTTCAGACAAGGAGATAATGATGATGGGTACAGACTCTGAAAGACAGCGATTTTTAGGTTGAGAAAGACAGAGAGAGAGAGAAGAAAGAAGAAGAAGAGTGAGAAAACAAAAGGAGAGGCGGATTAGTAAATAGTGGAATTTATCAGGGAGAGAGATAGGAGCTTTCGTGGACCCACTCGTTTATATGGATCCTGTCATTTTCTCTCTCTCTTTCTCCTTCTCTACTACAGTATGTGTGTGCATTGCATTAAAGATAAGTTCAACCTCAATCATTTTTCGAAATTAAGTTCCTGGCAAAACAAAAACAACATAATTATTGTGCGGCGTCAGTTTTGGAATTAATGTGTTCTTTTAAACTTTTTTTGTCAAACTTATTTAATAATTTAATATTATAACTTAAATAAACAAGATTTCACCTCGTATATATGCATCAAAATTCACAAGTAATATATATATACTGCGCAATAACAAAACAAGAAAATATTGATTATTATTTTGGTGTTAATTGAGTATTTTTTTCCTCAACCAGCCAGAGCTTGCACCAAACAAGTCGTCCGATCTTGTAATCGATTCACAATCAAGAGCAGAAGAAGAAGCAAGACATTGGTTATGTGGGGATGTCGCTTGCGTGCTGAATTAAAATATATATATATGGCTATTATTGAACTATCGAAGAACATGAGATTTTGAAATATTTTGAGAAGTTATTAGGCACACTTTATGTCCTAAAATTAAACATGAGGGGTCGAGATGCATTAATTCAAAACTGATTAAAGTATATAATATGCTAGTAAGGGCGAAAAAATAATCACCAAGTGGCGCGAGGGATGAACAAGTTATGAACGGAGGAAGGAATTGAAGCCTCTGTTCTTTGAGTTCTTTCCTTTACATAGGCCCAAAAAAAAAGGGAGAGAGAAAAAAACAAAGAATATTGTGGGGTATTTGGTTTTTTGTTTCATTTTCAATGCAAATCGGATCTATCCATTGAGCGTGGATCCCACCGGATGCTGCCCTTCCACTAGGTTACCCATATCCATACATATACTGCATCTGGTTTTTAATATAAGATTTTGTTTGATTTTTATTTTAATTCTAATTATAAACCCTCAATTTACTTTGTCTCTCATATTTATGTATTTTTTTTAAAGATTGTCCCTCTAATAATAGTAGTCTAACCAATAATAAACTTGATTAGCAAGGATATCTTAGGAAAGACAACACCTATTTATTATAAATAACTAACTTAACTTATTCTCTTAACCTCCTCAAATTAGTTAGTTAGTTCTTATAATTAGAAACGGAAGTAGTACTATGCAAATACACCTCTCTTTCTCATTATTTTGTAATCTCCAGCACAATATATCGCCATTCATTTTTTTTAATATTTTTAATTATATTAATATTTTTTAAATATCTTGAAAGATATTTAAAGTCATAAAAATTAAGAATAGATATATATTATTTATAAGTATAGGATGATATAACTCTTTAAAGATTGTATTTTTTTAATATATTAATCGATATTTGTATTATTTAAAAACTCTTGGGACAGGAGTTGCCACCTTTCGATCACCTTCCTAACCTCTTTCTGTGCTGAATATATAAATATGAATATAATGAAATGTTGTTATGGGAAGTTCTCTGAATCTTCTCCACACATGCCCCCCTTCTCCCCATGTGCTTTTGCT